CACAAAACAACATTTGTTGTCGAATACTGTGGTCAGGGGTGGGGTGGGTTCCTGTACACATTTGTGAAATAATTAGATTTATTATATACCGTGTATTTCAATCAACGACAATGATATTATTTATTGATCCAGATATGATTTAATCTACGTAGATATGTATGCTATACATTAAGTAAAATAGATGGTATATGACTATCAAGGTATCACCTACGCGACTATGAAATTGATTTAAATGGTAAACAAACCAGGGTGACAGAGAAACCGCATTGCACAACTCCAACTTGATGGCGTCATTAAATATGAAACTATAACCTCATGATATACTTACACTAAGTGTTACAGTATTTAGTATATGTTCTTGTGTGATAACATATTAAACTATAATTATTGGTCAGTGTTTCATTGAAGCATTTTTTAATGAAAATGCTTACTAGATCTACAAATTCACGTCAGTTTGCGATACTTCATACTTATGCAGATTTGCGATGAATTGCTGACATCGCGCATATTTCTGTTGACTGTTTTTACCAACAATTCGAACATCTACGTGACTATGTGTCTTTCAGTACAAGCAGGCACAATGTCGTAAAGATTATTAGAATTGTTTCCTGATGCTTCACAGTAAAAATCCTCATTCATATGTATGTATGTACAGCCAGCACATACCATTTTATATAGAAATAGCTATCACGTGGTCTGGACTGTTCAGCCAATAACGAACTCCGTAAATGCTGGACGTACGAAAACAAAATATAATAATTCAATGCGTTTGCATATAGAATCATTAAAATCCATGTCAACTGAACAATTATAACAAAATGTAAAGTCTTTGTAAATAGGAACCTTTAATACCAGATTTTGTACTAGTACACCATACAAAATAGGTTATTGGAAGATTGCATTTGGGAAATGTATCTAATATCAGATTCATTGTATAGTAAAAGCAACGCGACAAATAAAAGGTAAAAATATAGAGAATGTAGCAAATTATCTATTTTCTGTAATATTCTTGTGTAATCAGTAATTAGGAAAAAATATTTATGAGTGCATGAGGAATACATTTCGTTATGAATTATTGTTAATATAAATTTCTGAATTATTTTGTCAAAATCGTTTTTGTTCGGGGTTCCGCCCCAAAAACGAAAAAAAATCACAATGTCAAAAACGGAAAGTCTTTATCGTAATGTTTTTAATGAATATATAAATATTGTAAATAATTAATATTCATGCAAATAATTATTCCCGACCTATACTATTCAGTTACAACTGGGTTCACCACGATAAAAAGAGGCTCAGATATATCTCCACCCATCAGTCCATGCTTATAATGTGGCAGTAGGTCATTAGGTCACGTATGGCGCGAGTAATGCGAATGTCTGGTACAACGTCTGATTGATATTCATAGACAGCAGATTGTCGTGTATCTGCGCCGATATCAATTACATTGTGAATATAAACCACGCTGACTTTTTAAATTACACGAAATATCATAATAAGTTGTTAGTATCAAATTGGATTGGATAACCATCGCACGTGACCATAGTTGGGAATAAGAGTTGTCGTTGTATATTTGTTACACGTGGTATATCTCACAATAATTTAAAATAAGTTAATTCATGCGGCTATCATGACAAAAAAACGGTGGTTTCTTAGAATGTGATACGTATATATGTATACATGTTGTCATTTTATAAACTGCATTGTAATGCTGTTTTCTGCATCAATTGTGTTGACCCCGGTGAGGAGATAAGAAATCAATGTTTACACTCGTATCCTAATAGCTTGTGAAGCGTCGATATCAGTGCATAAACTATCATTCTACACATGTTACGTCATAACAAGTGTCATTATTCTTGCTCAGCCACGTCGAGGTAATGTTATGCAACATAACTGTCCAATCGGCGCGTCTGCATATGTCAATGGAAATCACGACATAAATGTGTCAGTTATATATTCAATCACGACGCTTAGTACATTTCAGTCGCAGACGTTGTTTATAACATTTACAAGCTATTTCATTAACTGGTGACGTTACATCAACGAAACGATCATGATAATAGGTGTGATGGTGATTACCGTGATTGTCAGTTTAACAGAGGCTGTCCACGATAAGGTAAAAGAGCCATGCACTGGAATTGTTTGCAAATATTAGATGTAAAGCGTTCGTTTAAAAGTTTATTTTATTTTATTTGTAACAAATGTTTTTTTTCTTTTTTACTTTAAAGTTTTTCTGCTTGTTTTTTTAATTGACTATTCATTTCAAATCGAATATTTTAAATATTTGTGTGTGATGCGTGTGTGCATCTACAACACAAAGTCGTATTAATGGGCATTCAGGTAGGTTTAGTTTACCTAAAGTCTAAAGTACCTAAAGTCTATATATATGAGGAAGTATTTGTAAACAACATTATCTTGTTTACTGTATTTACTTTGTATTTGAATATGCATCATGATTTTATATTTCAAAATAACGAATATGAGAAATCAACATTTGGAGTTGAAATATACAGCTAATTTTACAGATTAGCCACTGGAACTGGAACTGATAAGGTTGAGGTTCTTATGTCATGAATTGATGTTTAGAAGAGCTATTTTAGATGGCGAAAAGACACGATCCCATCGACGTAAATTTGTAACAACATTATAATCAAATATTACCCAGTTTGTGGTATTCTTTGTTTATTTTAATATTAAACAAAATATATGTTATAAAATCAAAGTTTGCACGTTATCGGCAGTACGTGCTAGTATTCCGAAATTGCCGTGGATGGTACATTCTGCACTTTTACGAAAACGTATTTATTTGAAAAAGAACTTTTCTGAGATTGGATCTCACTCAAAGGCACAATGTATGTGAACAGCTGTATGGCGATCTTGCGAATAAGACAAGACATGCATATTCTATCTATGCATTACTTTACTGTAGAAAGGTTTACATATCGTTTGAAAATGATATTTGTATTTCTACACCCATAAACAACGTAAACTAAGTCGAATATATGCAGGCATTCTTGTAATTTCAGTTTTGAAAACTAGTATAACATATTGATATAGTGTGTTTTCGAT